ATAATATACATAAGAGTTATACTTGAAATTATACAACAAACATCCTGCCGACAAAATTTGGAACCACCAATTAGTTGGAACTTTCCACTTCACCATTAAACCAATCTGAACCAGAACCCCAATCACACTGCGTGTACTTTTCTTCCGGTAAGAACCGGTTCCGACAAATTGGACACTTCATCTTGTTGAAGTCAACGATCCAACGGTCTAAACAACGTTGGTGAAACACGTGTCCACACTTCGGTAGCTGTCTAATCTTATCGTTGGAGTCAAAATCGGATAAACAAATCGTGCAGCAATCTTCTGGATCGGTCAAGAGATCGGAGAACCGAACCACCGGGATTAACTCGTTGGCAAGACTCGCTGACGTGGAGAGACCGTGTCGGGCCGGGTCAGGTCGAGAGGTCTCGTGGTGGTCAAGAAAACTAGGTAGACCAATGTAAGGACAAAGAGTGTCGACGATGTCTCTAAAGAAACCGATGACGTAAAGTATCTTTACTATGTACCCTGGAATCTGAAGCTCCTTGATGAAATCTTCTTGAAGACCCATGAGTGAGATAAAGATAGAGAAGAGAGATGAAGATTGAGATGTGGAACTGTAGAGACAAGTATAAGTGTGTATTATATAAGGTGAGATTTAGTAATTTGTGTTTGAAGTATAATAATAATTCAATCTGGCTGCTGAAGATAAGTATAAGCCAAATTGATCAACAATGGTGGTGGGTCTTATTGAGTGTATAATATAAAAAATACTTTGCTTGGTGTTATATTTATATACTTTTTAAAAAAGTGGTGATATAAGTGTCTTCTTTAATACTTTAATTAGATCATTGATCCGCACGTACGTGCCGGGTTTCATATTTTAAAAAATTTCTAACAAACTTTAATTCAATATAGATTATTTTGTTGTTTTTATGATATATATTTTAATGTATTAGATCTGGATCCACGTACGTGTAGAAATATTTTTATAAAAATTGTTATATATAGATTTTAAAAATATAAAATATTTTGTTGTGTTAGTGAACTTCCTAATAGTATAAATATTATAAAGTTAGAGTAATGAACAAAAATTCAGTTGTGTTAATGCATAATTATATTTTAAGCTCGGGACTAATTTAGTTACAAAAGTTTAATGGTGTTACATTTTTATTTTCTTAACTAATCAAAACAGTTCTAACAGTTTGATTACATATGTTAAATAGGATATGAATTCGGTTTTAGTTTGGATTATTTCATGTATATTAGCTAAGCGTAACTATTCTGGAGCAGGAAACATATCCCATCCGGTATATATAATAAATTATTTGTCCTATAATCTGTCACGTATACGTAAAATAAAAATATTACGGTCTCATATCTGTCATAAATAGAGTATGTGTAACTAAAAACGTATGTACAGGGTTATGTGTGTAAACAAATTTATTTTATATAGTTCTCATAACCCGAACTCATACCATTTGGATATTTAGTTTGATTTTTAATATATGTTCCTCTCCCATCTCGTCTCGTAATATCTATTTCCATTTTATTCCATTAAATTATGTTCCAAATTCTTGTTTGCTTACCTTTAAATACTATACAATATTACAATATATACTGTGAGTTTTGCGGATTAATATGTATGATGTTAAAGTTACAAATATATTTTAACAAATATATTAATGTTTCTACCTAAATTTTGCACATTTTTCTTTTCATTGTTTAATCATAATTAATTCGATTTTTTAGACTAAAATTAAAATTTGACATACATCTAAAAAGGGATATGCTATTGATGCATAATTTGTTTTGAATGCAAAATATATAATTAGTTCACATTATTTCGAAAACTGTGTGCAATATGTTATAGATTTGTTTAAGGAAGATCCGGTTGAGAAGTAAAAAAACAAAACACAAAATATTTCGAAATTAATATGTACAATCTATTATTTAGATATTTCCGAAACTTGCTCTAAACGAATGTCATAATGATAATTACTTTAAATTTATCATTATTTGAGTTTATTTCATAGTAAATATAAATATTTTTTAATATATAATATCGTTTTTTTAGAAATTGTGAAATAAAATTTTGTTTTATATTTCAAAATTTGTGAAAATATTATAACAACTGAGTCTTAAATATTTGTATTTAATTTTCTTACGAAATTGAAATTCAATCTTAAAATCTTCCATCGATAAATTTTTTTAAAAGATAATGTTTTTATTTTGAATTAAAATGGTATTATTTTTTTTTTAGAATAGTTTATTAGGATTGGTTAACAACTTTTTAGAAAAAAAATTAAATTTTTGTCCATAATTAATAAGAGAGAGAAAGTGAATTTAATTTTTTGGAAAGTAATAATTACTTTAAAGAATTTTGTTATTTTTTATTTAAATATATTATTTTGTCATTACTTTTGTATCTTTGATTAATTTATTTAAAAATAAAAACTAATGGCATTTTTGTAATACTTTACACTTTATAAGATTAGTTATGTTTGAGTGCTTCCCAATTAATAGTATAGATAGTCCCCGACAAAAAAAAAAGACAAAAAAAAAATAAAGTTCTTTAATATTTTGTAGAATTTTAATATCTAGGTACTAGCCTATGGTATTACACAAGATAATATATTTTTGAAGTAATGTTAATTAATTAATAAAAGAGTTGCGGTTTAGTATTGTAAACTATATAGAAATGTGTATTTATTTTTATTTTCAATTATAAAATTTGTTAGGCTAATATTCTATGTATAGTAGTATATTGATAATTCCAAATTTGATAATTTTATTCAACAAAAAAAAAAAGTTCTTTGATATAATAATGTAGAATTTTAATATCATAATGATGGATTTATTGGGATCTTGACATTAAAAGTCAAGGATTCAAGAGTAGATCGGTATTATATGAACATGATCTTGAAGATTTTAATCAATAGAAATGATATACATAGTAGGAGTAGGAAATGACACATTGTAGGAGTAGGAAATTACATATTATGTGTTAAACTCGATTGTTTAGGTATTCATATTTGATTCTATTCAAAAAAAGATATGAATATATGTTTAAAAACTGAAATAGCAAAACAGAGCAAATACTAAATATGTTGCATGTTTTCTATAGAGCAAAACACAAATAACAACAGTAAAATGGTCAAATATTCGCTTTATCCATATTTTCTATATATATATTATATTAGTTATATGACAAATTTATAGTAATTATACATTTTTTAAAATTATAAACATTAGAAAGAATTTAAATATGATGAACAGGTTCATTTGATGTTACAAAGATTTAGTTTCAAACCCGATTTCCCTCACATACAGGGGTAAACTCGTATTGATTTTAATTAAATAGTTAAAAAGATGAAAATCACGGAATGTGTGTCTTTTGTTAGGAAACTCAAGAAAAATGTCTTATTATGTTACTCACCCTATAAAATATAATTATGAAAGATATGAAGATTTATAATAGAGTTTATCAAATGTCTTCTAAAATACATCAAATACCAATTTATGATTATAGGATAAATTTATGAGTCAATTAGGTGCATACCTATTTTAAAAAAAGAATTAACTGTATGTCATTGACATTTCTTTCTTTTTTTTTCATGACCATAGAAAGAAAGAGAATTAAAAAGCTGACTAAATTGCCTATACACCAAAAAAGAAGGTTTTATGTTCTTCATAATTGATTTTGGTCTCTAAAACTAAAGAGGTTGCTTTTTGTTTCTCAAATTCGTATTAAATGTTAGTTGGTGGTCATTGGATAATGATAAATCTGTGGAGGTGGTGATGAATTGTGGCAGTTTGGACCGAAAGTGGTTGGTGATTGAAGATTACGATAGTTTTGATGGAGGTAGTTGTGGTAGATTGTGTGTTGGCGATGAAAGAGACGAGGGTGATGAAAATAGAGAATATGCTGGCAGCGGTGGAGATGATGGGAAAGAATGTATATATGTTGGCAATGGCGACGATGATGCTCCATCGGACCGTCTCTCCATGTTGACAACGATGAAATTTCAAACTCTATGAGATTGAGTTTCAGGATTATAGAGATTAGTGAATGCATTCTTATCGAAAAAATCAAACTAATTTAAAGAAATCAAATAATTGTTTTTTAAGATTCACCTAATTTTAATAATCTCGGATTTTTGTAAAAGAAAAAACATACGGTGGGAGAGAGAAAAACAAAGTTGTATGTGATATAGATGACTAGGGTATTTTTGTTTATTCCTAAGCATTTTCAACTCTTTCAATATTACACTAGTGTCATCTATCATTTGACTCCAAAACGGTCAAAATCAACCTTAACTATTTCCATACGGCTTTTTTCAAGCCAAACTCTGACCCCTGTTTTTATTAACCAGAATCCACAATATTTTCAAATAAGAAACATCAACTATGTAAATGTTAGCCAATTTCAATATATACCCATTATTAAATCATGTAACAAGCCTGAATTATGTAACCCTTAGTCAATTGAATAAAAAGAATGATTCGGATACGAAAATAAAAAAAATGATTCGGAAACGAAAAGAACAAATAATTACGACTTAAAAATTCTAATCGACATTAACAAATACAAAAAAAATTATGTTGAAATTGGCTAACGGTTACATAATTCAGGTTTGTTATTTAAAAATATTGTGGGTTCGGGTTGATAAATGAAGGGAGTTAGAGTTTGGATTGAAAAAAACACGCATAAAAAAAGTTAGGGTTGATTTTAGCTGTTTTCCTCATTGGACTTAATTGTTTTCAATTTCGTTGGTACGAGATGCAATTACTTTAAATTTATTTGAATAAAACAGGTTACAAATTAGACGTGACAGAAACGAAACTAATTTTTTTCAATATAATAGGACTCTGTATTACTAACTTAAATCGATATACCATAAATTTGATGTGTTTTGATTTTCTATAAAAGAAAAGCAAATTAAAATTTGAATCAGAATTCCGTATATTGATGGGATGATATTTAATATATACAGATTATTCTTTAACAAAAATATGGATTGATGCTATTATTAAAATATAAATATGATTGATGCTAATATACATATAATTACATAATGTTATACTTGAATTATACAGTAAAAAAATGTTGCCGTGAAAAAAAGTAAAACCATCATTAGTTGGTACTCTCCACTTCATCTCTGAACCAATCTGAAGAACCCCAATCAAACGGCGTGGGCTTTTCTTCCGGTAAGAACCGGTTCCGACAAATCGGACACGTCATCTTGTTGCAGTCAACGATCCAACGATCTAAGCAACGATGGTGGAACACGTGTCCACAGTTTGGTAGCTGTCTAATCATATCGTCGGAGTTAAAATCGGATAAACAAACCGTACAACAATCTTCCGGATCGGTCAAGAGATCCGAGAACCGAACCACTGGGATTAACTCGTTGGCAAGACTCGCTGACGTGGAGAGAGCGTGATGGGTCGGGTCGGGTCGATAGGTCTCGTGGTGGTCAAGAAAACTAGGTAGACCGATGTAAGGAAAAAGAGCATCGACCATGTCTCTGAAGAAACCGATGACGTAAAGTGTTTTAAGTACGTACTCTGGAATCTGAAGCTCCTTGAAATCTGTTGGAAGACCCATGATGATGAGTGTGAGAGAAAGATAGAGAAGAGAGCTAGCTAGAGAGAGATGTAGAATTTTACAGACTCCTATTATTTTGAAAAAAATGGTGAGAGTTTGAAAAGTATAAAGAGTGAGATTTATAATTGTGTGTGGAGTAATAATAATTGAATCCGCCGGCTGAAGATAAGTATAAAATTAGTCAATTTGATCAACAATGGTGGGTCTGATTGAGTGTTATAATACAATATACTTTGCTTGCTGACAAAATATAATATACTACTTTTCTACATGTCTTAAGTGGTGATGATAAGGTTCTTTTTTTTTTTCTTTTTTTTTTTAAGGTTCTTCTATTATTATAATACAGTCACAAAAAAATGAGGAAATTTTTTAATACTATTAGTCTATTATGTAGAAATTTAACTTCAGAATGGATTTATTTGGGATCTTGACATTCAAAGTCAAAGGATTCAAGAGTAGATAGTTAATATACGAACATGATCGTGAATCGATAGAACTCAAATGATTCTTTCACTAAGTTTTGTATAATTATTTTAATTCTCATATTGGAGACCAAATGGGGATGTAGCTCAGATGGTAGAGCGCTCGCTTAGCATGCGAGAGGCACGGGGATCGATACCCCGCATCTCCAATTTTTTGTTTGTCGATTTATTTATTCCCACTAATGTACAATTTGTTAATAATATTGGGCCTTTTCCTACGAAACCCATAAGGCCATAATGTAGCCGCACTCATACTTTATTCTCTTCGCATAATTTAGTACTTTTATTCAGACACCGCTTCTCCTTTACACGTGTCTTTGTTTTATTCGGAAGGTGACACGTGTCTGACTGTCTGTGTGCTGCATATAAGCTTGCTTATCTTCTCGGCGGTTTACTGTATTAGGCTTATTTTAGTTTCTGTTTAATTTTGTTTGTTTCTTAAATAAAATAGATGACTATTCAGCGTAAAAAAAAAAAAAATTCCCAAAATGTCAGAGTGTTTCACTTTATTTTCTGGGCAATATATCTTTAAAGGTTGGTCATACATTAAGATATGTAGAAGTTTTCAAAATTTCAAAAACAAAAAAAAAAATCCAAAATTTCAGCTTGCAAATATATAATTAATAATTTTGTAGTAGTATAGACATTTTTGAGACAAGTTATGATGTAATCATATTATACAAGTTACTCTATGGATTCATCCACGTTATCGTTAACCGAAATCGAATTGGATTAAATGGTAAAAGTTTCTCATAAAGATGAACCTCTAATGATAAGTTCTACAGTACGTAGTAAACGTAATTTCCTATATAGTAGATAAAAAATAAAATAATCAGCAGAGAAAACTATAGGGTTAAAACTTAAAAAGCCTAACAAATGAACCGCTAATTTTTTCTCTTTCAAACTTTTTTTATTACAAAGGTGGAAATCACTTAACTTCAGTCACTTCACCTGCTCTACATACACCAACATTAATCCATAATGTATTATTCCTCTTTGTTTGTAATACTCTGCAACAATTTCTTCTCGGTGACTGCCAAGAAAATACAATAATTACTAAGCATTAACATATTAATTTTAATAAAATAAAACGTAATCTGTTAAAAACAAAAAATGTTTCACTTACCCTGGTCCATAGATGAGGATCCGGTTTTTTGTACACAACTATAGTGTTGATCTCCTCCGGGTTAACCATATCCCACCGACAAGCCGGATGCGGAACCCGATGCCTCGTGTATTCGCTAACCGTGGTGTTCAACTGCGGGTCGAATTTCGCGTTCGACATGTGAAAAACAAATGGTTTTTGGCAATGATTGCGACTCACGGGCCTAGTATTGAATGCGTAGGCGGTGTAATCCGCTCTTTTGTACCAATTCAAGAAAGTTCTAGATGGCATTTCCATTTCCCGTGGAGAGAAGGATCCACGGAACACTTGAACCGCAAATCCCCACGAGACTGAAATCGTCCAGCTTTTATGCTTGTCATAGCATATTGATTGTTGGAGAAGCCCAGCCGAATCAATCTTCATCGGTGTAGTTAGTTTCTTGATGGCGCGAACACGGGTCATGTTTGGAAAAATTGGTTCCACCACATCAAGATGGTGCATTGATACAAACGGTGTTACCGGATGAGCAGCTAGGAGGCCGAATAGGTTCCCATGAACGTCGTACTACGCAAAACAAAAACAATCGAATTAACAAATTTGAATAAAGGAGTGTAGCCTTCACGCGCTATATTGCGCGTATAGGAAAAAGAGAGCTACAAGTCTTTTAAAGGTTGAAATTGACACCACGGTTCTTATTCCAACACCTAGGAATCTTAACTATTGACAAAGACAATAAACTAATGAAAAATTAGCCCAAGTTAACAAACAATTCACGTTTTCTTTCAAACGAAGCTTGTTGTTAATTTAGTTTTATTGGTTTTACTTTTGGTCGGCTGTTTTAAAAATTTTAAGTAGCAAATTAGTAGTGCGACACAAACTCGGATCTCCATAAATTAACTAATTAATGTCAATTACTACTATTAAGTTAATGACTTGAATGCAATAAGATTCACACAACCTCCAAAACTTACTAAAACTGATTCGACTGTGAAATCATTAAACAGTCTAGATTTGTGCAGAAAGCCTTTACCTTAATCGGTTAAACTCTCACCTCTCAAGACTATAAAAGCTTTAGATCGCATTAACAAACCTTAAAACGAGTATTAACAATTCCATTGGCTCTAATCTTTGACTTAGAACTAATATATCAAAACCAAACTCAGCTACACATGCCACACAAAAAAACATGAATGCCAATTACACACTAACTCATCAAACTTTACCATCAATTTTGCCTATCTCACTAGGTTTTTAAATCATTCTAAGCCAACCATTTGGAATCAAACCAATCTAAGCAAAAACAAACAAAAATGTACTTACTTGATGAAAACCGATCTCCTTAGTCAATGGAACACCAAGCTCAGCCATACAAGCTTGCATCCGATCATCAGAACCATACAAAGCCGGATACCTCTTAATACACCGATCTTGCATCTTACTCAAAGCCACTGCCAAAGGATAACTAATAGCAAAACCTCCTCCACCATAAGCCATTCCATAAGAGAAAAAAATGTTTTGTAAATGAGATTCCGACAAGCTTCCTATATAATACATCTGTTCATGATCGTACTTCCTCAAAACCCTAATTAGATTATCCGTAACAAAAACCGTATCATCATCACCCATCACGAACCACCTCACGTTCTTCTTCGACTCAGAATCAAGACTCATCAACGTTTCCGAAACAATCCTTGAGATCCGTATCGCTGATCGGTGTCCTTGCTTGTTAGTATAAGGAAACGACGACGTATCACCGGAGATTCTTACCGACGGGAGGTTTTCTTGATCTCCGGTTTCGGATTTTATCTTTACCTCTTTATCTAACCACACGTAGCCTCTCATCTTCTTTGGCTTATACCAAATCTTGATATACTCTTTCCTCTGTTTCCATAGCTTTGACGACGCTGCAATCCCGAAAACGACATGGTTTAGATCGGTTGCTTCTTGCTCAGCCGGAACCGCCTTAACCGCAACCGCAACCGCTTTTTTCTCCGGTCTTTGTTGGAGAATTGACTCGGAGGTTAGATCTTCGCAAGGGTGTGAAGTGGAGACGATCTTTAGAGTGTAGATGATGTAAGTGACGGAGATGAAGAGCATGAGCCAGATCATTAATCGACCGGGTCGGGTCATGGATAGACCCGAAGAGCTCCGATCCCATATGGGTTTCTCCGATGAGTCTTTTTGGTTTCCTTTCATTCACAGCGGAAACAAGAAATCCAAATTTGTGAAAAACCGAGTTTGTAGAAACTGGTTTGGTCTGAAACACGGAAAATAAACAAAACGACAAAATTAATTTTTTTTTTCTTTCCCAGAAATTAAAAAAAAAAAATCAACGGGAAAATGAAGAAAATTTATGAGTTTTTTTTGGGTCTCTCTGGGCAAAGAGAGATTGAGAGAGTAGCTGATGCTCTCACACTAGAGAAAGTAGAAATTCTAGAAATGCGACAGAGAACACAAAAAGAAGAACAATTTTCAATTTTTGTTGTGGGTCTTACTATTATTCCTAAGCTTTCGTCGTGTTTCACACTGAGTGAACTACGTGTCAAGTTTTGCTCTGATTACGTCATCTAATTTTTATCCATTTTTAGTTTGGAACCGAGTTTGGAGAAGCAGTATACAAGATCATATTAAAATTACTGGTTACATAATTAGTATGTATATATGAAACGATATAACAACAAAACCGAAGTTACACGATGCCATTTGATGGAAAGTAGTATTCGTTTATAGATCAGTTAATTTATATTCAAGTTCTTAGTTATTGACTTGAATTGAATACGATCATTTTTGGTTACCACATTCCTAGTGGACCTCCAAAACGGCAAAACCCATGCTTCACGACCAATTTCATTATTTTTCCACCCATGCTTCAAGCCAAACAATATTTTTTATAACTTATTATTCATGATTTCCACGACACTACGATGAAATCTATGTCCGAGTTACATCTTTTTATAATATGTTGTTGAACATTTTCCCAAAAACTTCTCGTTCCAATATTATTCGATGTTTCGGTTGAGTCTAATATCTATTACAGAGAAAATCGTTTTTCTTTCCGTAAAGATGCAAAATTAAGATCTTGATATGCTTTCCTTTAGCATTGATCTACTAAAAAAAACTTGTATGTCCCATGCTAGCTTAATCTTGCACTCCCGATATAAATTGAGCTATGGCTTGCCTTGCCTACAATATTATCATGATGTAGTTGATTCCCTTCTCTGCCTTCTAAAACAAATAAACCCAATTATGAAATTCAAAAAAGGTTTCCCACAAATAAATTGTAGAAGCCTTGAAATCTCATGAAAGAGAAAGAAAAGAGATAGATGTTGGACAGACTCTCAAGGATTCAATGATAATCTGCATATGTTCTTAGCGAAACAAGGTCATAGATGAAGTTGTACGAAACGATCTCTCTCATGACGATAATTTGAAAGATCATACCTATCTCTGTTATCACTTTTTTTTTTTTTTTTTTTTTAGCATTATAGTTTTTTTCAAAATTCCTAATCTTTTTTTAATCAGGTGTGATATTTTTTTTCAAAACTCTTAATTTTAATTATGTTGTAAGACTTTGTAAGGATTTATATGACTAGAGATAAAAGGTGTCATATACACTCAAATAATCGGCAAAGTGACGGAACTCTGATTTATTGTAAAAAACGGTTCAACAATTGTTATTGGAAAAGATTCAATACAACACAACGGGACCAAAAATGTCAGCACCAAATATTATGTCGTTCGAGAAGCCAAAAAGGAAGGCATCATTAAATTAGCGTTTTGTAAACAAATTAAGCAACTTGCACATATATTTACCAATCCATTATATTAGATCAGATGATGCGGTTGAAAGGCTGAAAAAAAAAAAACTTGGAATTACTCTGAAATTTATCGAAGAGGAGTGATATTTTTTTTTTATTTTTTTTTTTTTCCTCTCGAAGAGGAGTGATAAGATTGAACCATTTGCAAAGTGGATTATATAAGTGATTGGAAAACAAAATTAAGGAATATATATTGAGATAAAAGTATAGAACAAAAGTTGTGTTAATGCCACTAAAAATGGGTGTTTATTATTATTATTATTTTTTATAATTTAGATGATCCTAAAGACTTTATAGATTTAAAAATTGTTTAGATCCAAATATTAATCCCGAGGTCCGGGAAACTATGTTAGAATTCAAATTTTAGTGGCTAATATTACTCGAACCCATGTGCGGAGACTTTTCTCTCTTTTACCACTAGATCAAAACGACTGGGTTAAAATGCATAGTTAGAGATTTGAACCCATGTTACGAGAACAATTATATCCTCCGTGTGACCACTACACCACAATAACATGTTTAAATTTAAATTACTCAATTACACAATTTTTTTACAAGATATACCAAATTTAATCCAAAAACATCTTTTTTATAATTTTATTTATTTATTTTGTTCTTCGTTTCTCATAATTCAGTTTTTTTCCTTTTTTTTAATTCACAGAACATATTATTTTGTGAAGACTATATCATAATTATTTTAGTTTCCTTTGTCAGGCTCGACTCTGCATTGTTAATTAATAAGTTGACAAAAACACAATTCTGCTACCAAGTAGTGATATATGTGAAATAATTGTAATGGTTCCAGACATAGTGCCGGTTTGTGTGGAGTCTGGGAAGCAACGTGCCCTTTTTTTTTTAATCATATAAGTTATTCATTTGTGTCCGTCCATATACAAATCATTATAGTATTTACATGTGCTTGTAATGAATCTTGAGATGTTTTTCAACGTTTTTGTATTATTTCTGACTCTGTCGAATCTATTTATCCTAAGACGATATAAAAACTAGGCACCTGGATGAACAAATAATATAAGACTCTGATCCGATCCACATGTTTCAGCTTAATTTCAATTAAACCGGATCCTATATCGAAAATCAGATTAATCCCACAATTTTACTATAGCTCTATGTGAATGTCAATAATAAAGTTTATGCGTATAGCCAACGAAAATATTCTTTAAAAAAAAAAGAATCATTAAAAATATATGACATAACTAAATTGATTTTGAAAGATGATCACGATCCAACACTTATCATCTTATGTGACTATATATTTATGTAAAGCAAAGAAAAAGATAGTACATAATAGCATCAATTAATCTCTAAACATAACACACAAAAGATGATGATGATGAATTGGTGATGAATGATGAACATCAATATCATCATCATCTAGACCTAGACAAAACTGAAATAATAGAGTGCAAAGCGGTTGCAGCGATCCGCGATTTGATCTGCCCGCGTCTTGGAATCATCCTAAGTTCTCCAGAATGATCTCCTTGTCTCCTTCTCTTAATTGAAACACCTGAAACTCCCTTCACTAGTTCTCCGTTCATAGTGTATGTAAAAAATAAAACCAGTTTCTTTTTCAGCACGTAACCTTTAGAAGCTTGGAGATTTACCTTGATCCAAGTATCTTTCAATGTTTGTGCTTATATAGAGGAGCGGTTGAGACACGGATTATGGTGTTGCTAGTGGAAGCGAGCTGTGTTGGTTTCTTGAGTCGCTGACAGGTTAAGTAGTTAGGACACATGCCAACTTGCAACATTGGTTACATGACAAACATAAAATTATAAAATTTGTTTTTGATGTTTGCTGGTATTGGACCGTTTGTGCGGTCGGGTGTTATCTTTTCAATGTTTTTTCCCGACAGATTGCAGGCAACAGACGATGCAATGACAAAAGATGTGCTTAACAATGTTCGAGATAATTTAATATCGACCTCATGTAAAAATCATCAAAGTCGAGTTTTTTTTTTTTTGATAAAATCATCAAAGTCGAGTTTATCACACATATGTGTTTACGTTTAAAATAATAAAAAAGGTACACACTGACATACATTTGTGAAAACAAGGTACATACTGACATACATTATTTTGTTTTCTTTGGTATGAGAGTTGTTAATGTCCGTGCCCAGGGCCGGCCCAAACTTTTGTCATGCCTAAAGCAACAAAAATTTTTTTAGCCCACTAAAAAACAAAACTAAAAGAAAAATCCCAAAAAAAGGAATAGTTGAGCGTCAAAGTCGGCATCTTGAGGCAACTAAAACACTCTCAACCACTACGCCACAAGCTAACTCTTAAAATGATGCCCTTACCTTTTATATATATCTTTGTGATGCCTAAAGCACCAGCTTTATGAGCTTTAACCATGGGCCGGGCCTGTCCGTGCCGATTGTTTCGCAAAAAAGACAAGAGTACGACGAGGTTCTTTATTCTTCCATGTAAGTACATCGGTTCCGGATTGGTTCTCTGTAGAGGAAAGCCTCCGTTCAATAACTTAATAATTTTTTTTGTCTCACAAAATTATGTAAAATCTGATCGAATTTCCTGGAAATTTCCTATCGTTTAACAAGATATACATATATTTTCTTGTTAAATATATGTACCAAGAATCTTTTGATAAGTGACTTGCCAAGAAATTCTTGTATGGTTGGTTACTTGGTTTTATAATTTTACTGTACAGTTATCTGTATCCCGTCGATTAATAGAAAGACATAGTCAAAGTCAAGTACCTATATATCAACATACTAATATTTTACAATTGCAGTTAGCGTAATTAATTTAGTTTTCCATGATACATCATTAATATTTTGACTATTGAGGTTAATAAAATGTGATGCTATACGTAAGAAAATCCAATTACGCGTACCTAACTGGAGATCATAATATAGATTTGTACGTAAAATTTAAAATTTCAGAAAATACCGACCTTTCCTTATTGGTTTACTGATTCCACTTTCCAGATATATCGTTCAAGCCTTCAAGACGAGGAAAAACATATAATATAAAAGTTATTCATGCAACTTTCATTCTATCCAATAATATTAAAAATAATTGATTACAAATTGTAACATTTGAATATTCAACATTGCAGTTAATTATAAATGTAAGGACCAAGACCATTTCTATCGTGCTACCAAAAACACAAGACTAAAGAATGAATCAAGAGAAGATATTGGCGATGAAGGGCATAGCTCCGCCGCAACATCAAGTGTTCGTAAGTTTCCGAGGCAGCGACGTCCGCTATAACTTCTTCAGCTTTCTCAAAGATGCATTGGTAAAGAACGGTATCAATGTGGTAACGGACGAGGACGCACCTAGGGGAAAACCCATCGATGAGAATCTTTTGAAGCTTATAAAAGACTCGAGGATCGCTATTGTGATCTTCTCCGAAAACTATCCCGAATCGACTTGGTGTTTAGACGAGTTGGTGGAGATCGAGAAACAAATGGACCTTAAGATGCTTGATTCTTGTCCTATCTTTTTTGAGGTTGAGACTTGTCACGTTAAACTTCAAGTCGCGAGAAGTACTTTCAACAACAATCTACTGCAGTTGGAGCATGATGAGCGGAAAAAAGCTAGGCAGATTAGTAAGAAGGCTTGGGAGGATGCAGAGAAGAGATTCGAGGGATGGAGAAAAGCTTTGATTTCGGTTTCGTCTCGCTTGGGCTTAACATATAAGAAGGGAAGGTTTGATTTAATTTATTTAACTAAAAACTATGTTTTAGCTTGAAGGCATTGGAGATTATTAATTATTCTGAGTGTAATTGTACAAGGTATACACATATAGCTACTAATTATTTTTTACTTTGTTTTGGAAGCAACCAAGCAACCTTCGTAAATGAAATCGTCCAGAAGGTTAAGGCAATGCTGGATAACGTTTCCTCACCACACGTACGTAATCCTGTTAAATCATGATCGAAATTCGTAGTTCATGAATTAGAGAAATTGAAATATTGCCATTGATAGAGAAGGTGTGTAAAAAAGAACATATCTTATTTTTTTGGTAAAGACATTAATTACCAGAATCTATTTCCCTTAGCTAGAAATTCCTTTTTTGCTGACTAAGAAATTTTGGACCTAGTACTGTATACCTAACATTTCTTCAGACCCAAAACCAGTACATGTGCTAAAAAGACCCCTTCGTTTATTTACTGAAATGAGTTTATATATCCATTATAAATCTAGTGGCTAATCATATTTCAATTAAAATCTGTAGATTGTGCCGCAACATCAAGTGTACATAAGTTTCCGGAGTCAAGAGATCCGCAACAAGTTCTCCAGCCTTCTTAGAGCCGCTTTACGAAGGAGTGGGATCAACGTCTTTCTAGATGATGAAAATATTACTAGAATAGAGTCGAGAGACGAAGTTGATAGACTTTTTTGTCGAGTCTCGAGAGTCAAGGATCGAACTAGTGTTCATCACCAAAACACATCGAGATTATCTAATTTTCTACAAGGTCAATCCCAATGACATGATACAAGATGATTACAAGATCAAAGATATATATATATATATATATATATATATATATATATATATATATATATATATATATATAATACGCTTTGTTCATGTTAACCAGCTTTATGTCTTCACTATGTGCATTTTGTGTTTTCGTTTACATGTGAAATCTTTTTTGTTTTTCTTTTGGAAACGTTTTAACATATTTAAATCATTTTGTGTAAAAATAGTAAAGGTATAGTTGTAAAGATATTCAAGTCTACATCGAACATAAGCTTATTCGGATCAAGAACACGATATTGAAGCTGAGCGAATGTGTAAGAAATAATATCTTGTGTTATAACTTATAAGGATCCTTATAGAACAAATGCTTGAGTTACAAGATAGCTTTCTTTAACCAATGAAAAAGCATAAACAACAGAACAACATGAGATGTAGCAGAACCCGAGCATTAACACTATCTAAGGCATCCTCGTAATAAGAATGGACATAACTACTAAATTTTGCTCAATCTCATACTAGTATAATATTTGCATGCCCCTTCTTAAATAATGTTTTAAATGGTCGGATGAGGATTGAACTTCACAGATTCGAGCCACACAAGCTCTTTAATCTCTTCTTCAGTGGAAGACGGGTCCTCAAAATCGAAACTGAAATGTTTGGAACAAACAGGCTCATCGTTAAGGTCGTGAAGAGCTGATAAATAGGGATGACACAGTGCTTCCTCAACTGCAAAACAAAGAGTAAGATCTCAGAATTAACAATCGCGTTTATGCCAAACCCGATATGTATCATTTTAATCATACCCGTGATACGTTTTGCTGGATCAAACACGAGCATTTTCTCTAGTAGATCAATAGCTGTAGAATTCATACTAGGAAATCTTGATGAAAACTTCTGCCTCGGGAACTTAGGTAGCTCCTTAACATATTTTCTGGCGTTCTCGCTTCTGAGAAACTCTAGACTCGCTCCATCAGGTGATCCTATCAACTATATAAACCACATGAAACAACTCATAAACAAATTGCTAACAGAAATAAAGCAATTTGTTGTACAGATCTTTCTAAAACAGAACATACCTCGGTGATAAGTTTAAGCTGATGAACATAGTCTTTCCCTGGGAAAAGCGGTTCCCTTGTCATAATCTCAGCAAATATGCAACCAACAGACCAAACATCAATAGCAGATGTATACTCTGAACTATTAAGAAGCAGCTCTGGTGCTCGGTACCATCGAGTAACAACATACTCTGTCATAAACTCTGTTTCAGATGTCGTCCTTGCCAAACCAAAGTCCGTAATCTTAAGATCACAATTCGAATTCAGAAGCAAATTACTCGGCTTAAGGTCACGATGTAAGACATTTGCTGAATGAATATATTTTAGTCCTCGTAGAATCTGATACAAGAAGTACTGCAAAAGAAGAAAGAGTATACTACTCAAGATTAAATCAAACATAGTAACAAATATAGCCGAGTAAAAACCGAAAAAATAAAGCTACGAATGTCACAAAACCTGACAATGATCATCATTCAAAGGTTGGTCTGATCGAATAATCTGATGAAGATCAGTATCCATTAACTCAAAAACTATATAAACATCGACGAAATCTTCCTTCTTTGGTGGTCTAATGATATCTTTTATAACAACAACCTGTAGAAGTCAAGAACACTTTAGCTAGAACTCTAATCGTTTACCGCGAAAACAGAGTAGAAACCTTACGTTCTCGTGTTCCAAATGACGAAGTAGCTTAATCTCTCTCAACGTCCTTTTAGCATCTACTTTATTGTCAAAAGCTTTACCTATCTTCTTTATCGCAATCTCTTCGTGTGTCTCCGAATCTACTGCAGCACTAAAACAATACCAATACTCTAATGAAACAGTAACTTTCACATTCTACCAAATCAAGATTGCTCGATTCAAAATCGAAAAAAAAATCAAATTTTGCAATAAACCCTAATTCAAAAACATATAAACACAATTGGAAAACAGTCAAGATTCTTCAACACATACCAATAACTCTAATTCTGTATCTAATTAGGGTTTCAACTACTAAGAAAGAAACAAAAAATATGAAATAACACAAAATCGTACCAGACAAAACCGTAAGCTCCTCTACCAATAGGTCGAATAGGAGGAACATACTTATTAGAAACTTCGAACAAGTTTCCATAAACATTGTACTGAAAATATCTTCCTCCATGAACAAGAACTCCTTTGATGTTAGTATCACCTGGATCTGCCGCTGATTCAATTTCCTTATCCATTTTTTTCAAATCAAGATTATACAGAAGAAACCCAGAAAATTGAACTTCGAATTCAAGATTTTGAAGACGAGATCGATCCTCTCTGCAAAAATAAAATAAGAGTATTGTTGAAAGTTGAAACCTTTGAATCTAAAGGAGAGAAGAGAGACAACGACTCTTTTTCACTAGTTTGAATATTTTGAATAGGTCAAACGGATCGTCACATGTACATCAGCCACGTGTCCTTTGTAATTAATACAGATGAGTACATGTTTGTTTGGGCCTGGCCCATCTATTGAATAGAGAGATATGTTATCAGCTCTGGTCTATGTTATGAGGCCCACGTAATTAATTACTGATGTTTTAATTAGGAGTTAGATAATGAAAAAATATCACAAAATTATAAAAATTATAGAAATTTCTTATTTATAATAGATTAATATGTTTTTAAAATATTAAATAGCCTTAAAACTAGTCCCCGATTAATCCCCGTTTAAACTCCGATTTTCTTGCTAGGCACTAGGCCCACCCTCACCCCCGATTAGCGCCTAGCGACTTTTTAAACAAGGAGTCCATCTGACTCCGCCATCTCCACCGGAGTTCGACTCCAGTAAGTCGCGTTACCCCGCGTAGTAAGGATTGGCTATGGATCGGGCTTTGTCGATCCAAAGATGTAAAAAAAAATAATAATAATAATAAAACAAAAAAAGTAATTTTAAGTATATAATTTAAACCGTGCATAGCACGAGTAGGCATGACCACGGTTACGGTTTATTAACCCCCGGTTACGGTTATAAAATTTCTCTAACCGTAACCTTAACCGTTATATATACGATTAAAACGGTTACGGTTAAATACGGTTACGGTTACAACGGTTACAGTTAAATACTGTTACGGTTATTTAATTATTACGATACGGTTAATATCAAGAGAAATTGTTAAAAATGCCCTTTATTCAATACCCTTTTTCAAAAATGTCCCCTTTGAGAGTCCATTTTTAAGTTTGCCTTCTTTTAATTTTTAAAGACCATTTTACCCTTATTTGAAACAAAATTAGGTCCACAAAATACAAAATATTTTTTAGCGGGAAAAGTGATCCCACAATTTTCCCGCCAAAACACTTGTAAAACCTTTAAAATACCTTGTAAAATTTTCCCGTAAAATTTTTTTCCGCCAAAAAATTTTTTTTTCAGGAAAAGTGATTCCGCAATTTTTTTGGCGGAAAAAATTTACAAGGTATTTTAAAGGTTTTACAGAATATTTTACAAGTGTTTTGTAAGGTTTTACAATGTATTTTAAAAGGTTTTACAAGGTACTTATAAGGTTTTATAAGGTATTTATAACTTGTAAAACCTTATAAAAAACTTGTAAAACCTTATAACTTGTAAAACCTTATAACTTGTAAAACCTTATAAAATAGCTTGTAAAATCTTATAATACCTTATAAATACGTTGTAAAACCTTTTAAAATACATTGTAAAACATGATAAATACCTTGTAAAAAACTTTTAAAATACCTTGTAAATTTTTCCTGCCAAAAATTTAACGCCAAAAAAATTGCGGAATCACTTTTCCAGCAAAAAAAAATTTTTGGCGGGAAAAATTTTTACGGAAAAATTTTACAAGGTATTTTAAAGGTTTTACAAGTTTTTACAAAATCAAATTTGAAATTTTGATATGTGCACATTCTCATGTTTTCCTTATATATTTGTGATATCTTTTATTAAAAGAAGGGTAATTTAATCATTTTGTACATAAAAAGTGGTATTTTTAAAAATAGACAGCCAAATGGGGCATTTTTGAAAAGGGGTATTGAAAAAGGAGCATTTTTGTGAGTCTCCCTAATATCAAAGACAAAAGCTTAGGTATTTTTAACCTTTAGAATAAAAATTTAACAATGATATATCAAATAATATTTATTTTACAATATATAATATATGTGATTATGTACTTTAATATTTATAGTTCATTAGCTATTTTGTTATGTTAAGTAAACCAACGAATAACTAAATCAATGGTAATAATTATAATGATTGATTTATTATTTTATTGACAATACGTATTCCAAACAATACTATATAAAGGATGTTATGAGAATTAAGAAACGATTATGAGAGCAGAAATAATAACTTGTAAATTATTTATGATTTGATTCGTAGAAAATGAGTAGTGGACTAGTGGAGTGGTTTAAATTTATTAGTGGACACATTGAACCATTTAAGGCACTACTTTGGTGAAATTATTATGTATTTTAGGTTTTAACTGCACGGTTAACTATGCGGTTAACCGTGCGATTAACCGTACGGTTAACTAACAGTTTTGCTACGTTTACGGTTATGGTTAGTATATTTTTTAACCGTAACTAATCTACTTTTATGGTTACGGTTATTAACCGTTTTATACGTTTACGGTTCGGTTACGGTATATAAACGGTCCGGTTACGGTCCGAAATACGGTTACGGTTAGCTTTTGGTCATGCCTAAGCACGAGCCTTTAGTTAGTAATAGGGGTGGGCACAGAGCGGATATCAGGGATTTTGGTGGTATTTGTGATTCGATTCGTTTTCTCCGAATACTGAGTTTTCTGATTTGTATTTGCTTCGTTAGTGACCGGATATCTGACTGTTCGAATATCCATTAAAATCCAAACTATTTGCCGGATATCCGATCCGTTAAGTATTTGTTTAAAAATAAATAAATAAATAACAAAATTAATCCAAAAATAGTAATATTTTATTAAAAACAGTAATATTTTATAAGAAATATACATTTCTCCTTTAATTGTTCAAACTAGTAGTTCAAATAATTAATTCGGTGATTATAAAATTATAAAACACATACAAGAATAATAAAATTATAATTTATATATGTAATTATATATATATGTATGCATTTCGGAGCGGAGCGGATATCCGCCTATTTAAATTAGAGTAGTTGATATTTGTTTCATTTTTGACAAATACCTATTTTTAGTATTTGATTTGCTTCGTAAAGTTACGGATATCCGGATTTTTCGAATCGAATCGAATCGAATAACGGATCGAAGCGAATCTAACAGATATTTTGCCTAGCCCTACCTAGTAACATGATATCTTATAGAATAGAATATCATTTTAATTACTTTTTAATTAATGTGTGGTTGACAAAAAAGTATATATATATTATTTAGTTAATATATTAATATATTATTCATCAAATGGTCATCAAAAATATGTTTTGAATTCGATGGAATATCGCCAGTTTACCATTTTATTTTTAATCTTAAACTTTTCTATATCAAAAAAGAAATTAGAACGGATCCTACGAAGTTTCTTTTGATAACTTAATAATCTTTTGATTCAAATTTACGCAGGACCGTAATATAATTAACTTTTGATACTCATACTAGTACTACAACCCTTAAAATACCCTAAATTATTCAATATTTTCCTCCTAAAATACTTCATATCTAACTCAAATCACTCACACTTAAACATCAAATATGACTAGGCCGACACCATATAATATATATATATCTCCAATAATTGCATGTTATTTAATTGGTGCGACAATCTCCGACAACGATACCATTACCAACTACTATCACCTAATGATTTTCTTTTTTAGCCATTCATGCTAAAAGTGTAGTGGCAGATCCAATACACGCTTATCATTGATCTTCTCCACTGCTTGTGCTTAATTCGATGTGGCAATCAATCCTCACTGCGTTAAATCTCCACCATTATCCATACTTTATAAAATGTGACTCACGACTGTTTTTTTTTTTTCCCTTAAGTTTTGGTTTGTTATCGTCATGATATCCTATCTTTAAATAAGAAAAGACATAATTTTTGGAATTGGAACTTATACTATAGGACGATTTATCGATCTGACCAGTCAAGTTCACTTGAAAGTTAGGAGGGTTTGTAGAGGTAGGAGTTCAAAACTAATTAACGATGTTCATTAAGTAGTATTTTTCGGTAATTTTTCTCAAATGATATTATCTTCATTTTATGATAGTGCAACAGACTTATACTTTCACAGTATATATATTCATTATAATCGTAGACTTCTGTTTTACCAGAACAATTTTTTTAATGGTATATATAGACTGGATAGTATATCTTTTGTATAGACATAATGCGCATATATGTATTTTTGTTGTGGTAGATTTATGTTTCTTGTTTAGGTTACTTAATCTTCTTTTTTAAATTCAACTGTAATCCGAAAAAACTGATAATATTTGAGACAAAAAACTTAATTATTATGAAGAAAAAAAAAAAAAAACATGCGAGCTAGATTGATTTAGCATGGAATTATGTTTTTTGATCATCTTTCTTCTCCATCATTGTTTTCTCTGTCTTCTTCGTTCAACTAAGTCCCGTCTGGAATTTATATAAGAATTCACGTTTTTTGAAAATTCTTAATATCCACAAAGCCTAACTGCAACCTCATTGTTTGAGGATTCAATTCTTATTTACATTGTAAAATCAATCTAAATTATTTGATTCTTCATCTAATAATTTACTCAAGTTGATATATAGTGAACTCTTCAGTATGAAACTTTTTTCGTACTATTATTTGTCTGCTCTATTATTAGTGTGACAGTGTGACACAACGAAACATCCAATAAATATCTAAATTGAATTTTCCAAGAAAAAACAAGATATATATATATATATATATATATATAAGATCAAGAACGAAATATGAGTGGCTTCAGTTGTTTCAAAGATATATATGGATGTAATCATCTTTGTTCGGTTGGAAAAGAATTTAAACTTTTGGTTCATAGTAACAAGGTTAAGAAATTAAAATAGGTTTAACATTCTTTTCTTTTGCTTTTGGTCGCTGTGGTAAGATTGACATTAGAGACTTTAAAAGACAAAGACCTAAGAATTTTTTTCTCGTCTTTTTATTTCATTTTTGTTGTTTTAAATTTCAAATTTTCATAGTAGTCACATTCACATTATACATGACGAGATATTCAAAACATTCTTAAAATATGCGGCAATATGATGGTTATTCAGCCGTTCCCACCATGATTATATTCAGATTTCAGATTACCGGTAAAAAGATCCAGAAAAACTGACAGATCGATCAGTTTAGATTGCATACCATCTTCATGTATCCAGCTTCTCTTCAAGTGTGCCCGCCCCAAGAATTTCTCTCAATCCAGTTAATAGTCGCGACCATTTTCGTCTTCTTGGTTCCATATCCAACCATAAAATTTAAACTTTCTGATTTAGGTTTGTCCCATCAATTACACCTGTGAGAGATATAAAACAAATGTGATTCAGCGGTTTAACTTTAGTCTTTAGTCGATTAGTTATCAAAATTTCAAAAAAAAAAAAAAAAAAGACATTAGTCAATTAAGTAGCTCTTGTCTATAACCGGTGAAACTTTTTAACAAGCAAAAAAATAACCGGTGAAACTTCTATTAAGGTATAGTCATTTTGATTAAAAATAGAGCATAGGATATGCATGGATACCATTCTTTTTCATTCTTTGCAACAACAACAAAAAATAATAATTGAAGGAAAAAAGATGGCTGGCTATACGAAGTATCTGAGAAGACATGGCCACACATGCAAAGTTTAAAAATGTATCTCTAACTACACAAACTATATGTATCGCATGCCCACATATACGAACTATATGTAGTCATGTCGCCAACATCACAAACATTTTTTTCCGATACATTTTTCGCCGGAATCCGGTATTGACCCGTTTGACCGGCGTTGACCGTCGTTGACCAACATAAATATTCAAAATTTTTTTTTTTTTAGTTTTTAAATATTTAGAAAATTATGTTATTGAATCATTTATAATATTATATAATTAAAAAAATATAAACAATATTCAATATAAAAATATTTTGTATATATATTCAATGCATTGATTTTTATAATTAGTTAGTTTTGATAATTTCAAAACTAAACTAAAAATAAAATAAAAACCAATTAGGTAAAATAATTGTAAATATGAAATTTTTGTATAACATGTTTTGTAAATATGAAATTTTTGTTA